CCTAAGTGTCAACAAGAGATTTGTGGAGATTTTAGAGCAAGAACATTTTGGAATACAGTGACACACGCATTTAGTTAATTTGGTCTGCTTTTAAAATCCAGTATTGCTGTTTCACTAATTTATAAATAAACAATTTCATAGTACATTATAATAGACACTAAGTGAATTTCGACAATTTTAAACTCTATGCATGAGTAGTAGGTTTTTGGAGACCATAAGATTTTAGAGATTAAAATAACATTTATTTTATTTTATTTTATAATAAAATAAAAAAAATATTAATCGGTTAAATTGGACATGTTAACAGACGTGTCAGACCACAGGGGATCGGATTTTGTATATTATTTACTCCGTGGGCAGACCCTGGGGTAGACCTACGCTGCTACTCAAGTTACCATGGGAAGCTAACAATTCTAATCTTTGTGGTTGAAATAAATGGACCCTGTTCAAAAGGTATAAACGGTACTTTTGACGTTTTTATTATTACATTATTTTATTATCACATTGTACAAGACTGTTCATCTCCCTTTTGTCTTTGTTCTTTTTACTGTATATGTTTTAAGTACAACCTCGATAACAAGACTTTCATCGGGATTGGGGATTATTAAGTGAGACCTGTAATCAAGGCTAACTTCTTGTCGAGGTTTGCAATGACATGTGATTTAGGGGTAAAATAAATTCAAGGATTTGAAAATGACATTTGTTATCTAGGTTCCACATACAGCTGAACCTATAAGGAGAACCTATCTTCAACTTATCACCAGAAATTGCAACTGGCAAGACCTTCCCAATCCCCACCCAATCCCGACGTATCAGCTGTAGTCAAGGTCACCGGAAGTAATTAGTTTGGGCGGAAGTAACTGAAGGGTTGACCACGTTCTCACCCCCTCCACGGAAGTGGCGCCTACTAGAGTATATCGGGAGTCGTGGGAATGAAAGATACTCCGAAGACGTTCGAAGTTAAACGGAGTATAAATTGCAAAACAAAACCTTATTTCCATTAAAGGAAATTTAGGTAGGCATACTTGTGAACAGTGTATCCAGGCATACTTTGGCTAAAAAGATATGTCTACATTACTAAGAGCTAGTATATATATATATATATTGTACTTCTATAATAGTTTACTTAGAATGATTTTAATTTTTGCTTGCAAGAAAGAGGATCGATTTTAAGGCAATGGCTGGACCTTTCTAAAAACACTGTAAAATATTTGACAAAAATTAAAATTATGACCAAAGGAAAATTTGTTAGGCAGAGAGAGTACCTAGAATTTCTATTTTGTTAGTAGATCTTTACTTTAATGATTATGGGTCCTTTCTACTAATACGATTTTTATTGCCCTGAAATAACATGATAAAAAATAATTTAAGACGATGATAAGAGTGTTGTAGTACTGTGTGTGTATTAACATTGTATAAGCATTTATTAGGCGTTGATTCATTAGCAACTAAATAAATTAGATTCTTCATATTTTTTTCCAAATTATAGTTGGCCAGAGACAATTTATTTTCAAGCGAGGAATGCAACGTCGACCTTTGAATAAGGTCAAAGGTCGTCTTCATTTCAACTTCGTTGTAATCCTGATAAATTCAATCTCTAACGTTGTAAACTTCCTATTAACATAAAGTGTAAAGTGTAACAAAGCAATCAATTAATGTGTAACATTACTGAGCTCTTATTTCAAATATATAACATACCTGTGGGTAATTGATTTCATATAATTTTGAAAAGACTTTTATTTTCCAGGAGTAACAGGGAATTTAAGTAATTACATCTTTTAATACAACATTTGTCATTCTAGAGTACAGTATTTTGGTTTCGGATCTCAAGGATTTTACAAGATATAGACAATTGGTCTACCCAACTTAAACAACTATTTTATATTTATATTAGACGTTGTACCTGTCGATCTGTGATTTTCTGTACACTTTTCATATCAAACGAGAACCCTTGCCGTCAAAATGTTTCTTTTAAAAATACCCCTGCCGCAACAACCCTGCTGACTAAGTCAATTCCCATTTCGTGATCGGAATTTCTCTAAAATATTCACTTAGACATGCTAGATTTATTCTCCATTTACATAACATTAGGTTTAGTGAGTTGCTGTTACAAGGAATGTCATGAAGTGGGTTTTTTTTATTTAAATGTTAATGTCTTGTACTTAGATAAATAAATTGATCAAATTGAATAACTTAGACCATAAATAATTTATTTTTCATAAGATTATCACTCAAAATACTAAATAAGGCCTACTTGGTGTTTAACTCTTGAAAATATTTTTAAATACTGTGAAATAGAATATTTCTAGGGTTAAAATGAAAAACAAATTTGTATTACATAAAACCCCCAATACAAATAAAATCCCGTTCAAATTGTCAGATCATGCTGGTTCGCGAAGTAGTGATGGGTCTAAGTCTTACCATGACACCAATGTAAAAAGTTTATTCTATATGTGAGATATTCGCCAAAATATCGTGTTATTTCTTTATTTTCCTTGTCTCAAAGAACCACGGATAGAGCCTCATAGCACGCATAAATGTAATTCCTTCTTTACATTGTGTTTACCACATTAATGTTACAATGTTCAAGTTAACTGTTATTTTGGCTTTGTTAATGTAAAGTGTATATAGGTCTATGCCCTATGTTTAAGAACAGGATAACTTTTTATAATATAAGTGATAAACATCAGAAAGTCAACAAATATACGCAATCAAACCACTATCTCACCCAATAAATGGATACAGTATTACCATTGGTTACATGATGGTGGTCGGCTGATCTTCGGAATTAAATGATGATTAACTAACATTACAACTACTAAGAATTAATTATGCAATAACATTTATTGGATCAGAAAGTTTTAAAATGAACAACCCGGAATTAACTAATCTGTTTAACCAATCAAAATAAAATATTTGAGTTTTGTGTCAATAACCTACACCCCTTAAAACTCTAGTTAGTAGAACTTTAATAGTTACGTAAGTTACGTAAGATATAGTCACTAAAAAATAGTAAAAAAATAAAATAAATACAAATAAATTAAAAATATATACCCCACCACAGCAAGCCTGTTGACTAAGTGACTTTCCACTTTCCTGCTTGGATTTCCACTAAGATATTTTATGTAAAAAAGATCTATTTCTATTTAAAAGCTTATTATTTAATGAGTGTAAATCATAATATATCCTTAAACAAGCAAACTACAACTTGCTGACTCTCCATAAAACACCATACCAATTTCTAATGTACAGTTTTAGTTCTAATTTGTTTTTTAATATTCTCCGTTACCATTAAGCGAGCAACAAAGATACAGTACTTGTTTCTAAACTCCAAAAAATCGTCAAGCAAGAAGTTGCTTAATTTTGTGGGCGAAGAATGTATTTGAATGATTACCCCATAAAACCTCATTCTCACAGTGCGATCATGCTGGTTCACGAACTCGTCCGAAAACAAATTTACACCATTGGTGTTGAACCATATTTTGTAGAGTTAAAAGGACCATATCATATTAAATTTTAAAGAAAATCGTTTGAGCTGATTTTGTGAAAATAACATTTCCCGTGATTTTATGGGAAAATCACCATTACGTATTAAAGTGATAAAATATTAAAAAGAACGTCTGGATATACTATGGTTACGCACATACCAAATTAAATATAAATTGAACAAATTTACACATCAGCACACCGACACCATCCTGAAACAACGTTTTGGGGTCCTGGAGGACCCAAAACTCAAATTTGAATATTTTGACGAAATATTATGCTACTTTCTCCATTATAGGGAGGGAAACTAAAAATATTCTCACAGTTTTTTTTTTATTTATTTCTATTCCGGAATAAAACTGCTCTAACGCAAGATCATGTTAAATGATCTAAAATCAATATCGAATGACAAACTAACCGACCAATCACAATAGCTTACCGCCCTCACTAGCACGTAAGTCAGTAGATATTTCCATGTAGCTGTGTACAGATTATACAACAATGTGGTTGCCATGACGACGCGGAGACACGTCCCACCTTGACGACGGATTTACATCACATCTGTACCTACCTTGCCTGCTTCACTGCTCTACTCTGCTCTGCATTTTGATACATCTACAAGTCATTCCACACAAAACTGCGAAGGGATGAGATTATTTAATCTTTTTGCAAGGGTAGAACTTATGTTTGTGTTAGTAAGAGAGATGTGATCTCTATGGGAACATAATGGTGTTAATGTCCTACCGTCACATCCCTCGACGCTAAGTCCTTGTCCAAAAACATTTTTACTTCAGGCTAGGCCTAGACAACATAGGTTATATCCAGTGGTGGTTGGTGCGATTCAAACCTAGAAACTCGGACCATGATGCCAAAGTATATTCACATTATATGGAAAACAGTAATGTTTGGACGTTAAGTGAAGCCCGTGAAATATAGTTACGATGTTTATACATCTTGATTATTTCATAGTATCAGTGGTTTTGTTATATATTGCGTACAGAAACATTGGACATATTGCGACTATTTCATGTTACAAACAGATTGTCCAATGATTACGATTATGGGCGCATTGGTGCTGATACCCAATTGAATAAAAATTTTTCATATACAAAATACCAACTGAAATATCAATTAGTTTAGTTACAGAAAATAATTCAACCAGTAGATATTCTAGTTGGCACTGATTAAAATTTTTTAGAATACGCCACGATTTATGCAATTGCATTGTGACATAGCTGATCACAGTCAACATGATTGAGATAAAGATGTTCACACTGGTAAATTGATTTCACCACTCTCCATTGTTGACATTTTCTCTCTAGGATTACCGACTCGAGTAACACGTTTACTAAATGTACGATAAATCCATAACACGTAACTGGGTTAATCCGATTCGTTAAATTCCCGAGGCTTAATCACAGAATCCTCTTGACTCGAGTGGCTTACGTAATCAAACAATACAAGATAAATCAGTGCTGGTACAATCTGTGTGAGTTACAATGGTACATCGCCCAGGAGTGTCAGTCAAGTTTGTGGCTGTGTGTGCTGCAGTGATCGTCTACGCTACGGTGATAACCGTGCGCCTATTCACCGCAGACTTGTACTGTAGAAAGACCTGTGTGAGCGAACCACGAAATGAAGCTGTGGTGACTACTCCGCCAAGATCTGAAGCTCCGGCCACTATTCCACCATGGGAAAGACACATGGACTTCGAGGGCTTCAACAACGAAAGCGGCACCGCGGATGGTCACTATATAGTTCCCAACCATGTACACTTCATCAGGTTCGGCCAGCCAGAGTTCAGTTTTGTACACGCAATTTGTGTCATGGCAGCCTTCAAGAATCAGAGGCCGGAGAAACTGTATATCCACACGGATCTGGACGGTTTCCATGGTTACTACTGGGAGGTCATGATGAATTTGACAGGTAATGGAAAATACCGGGATAGAGAATTCGAGGCTAAGTTTTCTTTTAGTAAAGTGATTTGCATAAATTGCCTGTCAAACATTATTTGCAGCAAAGCTTTTTATGTTTTACGTCATTGGTTTAGTTCTTGATCAACCATCCAACGACAGCAGATAGAATGCAGCCCCCACCTTCAAGGGCTGGGTTGCATTAAAGCAGTTTTCGATAGATGCCTTGCATTCTGCGATTGATCTCTTTGACATTTTGGCCAAGACAACTGGTGAGTTAGATGTAACGACACCAAAATGTTTGTTGTTTATACCAGGCGAAAGGAGTTCCAGTAATAAAAATATGGCCACTAAAAGAATCATTCATGAAAGTACCACTGAAACATTAGAGCTTGAATATGAATACACACAGCTTGTGTTGATAGTGAATACATTAGACATGATCTTTCAGGCTTCAAGGATGTACTTATCATCAACAAGATGAAGGTCCCAACGGAGATCTTCGGTCAGCAGTTGAGGTCAAAGTGGAAGAACTACCACGGAGGTGACGTTGCTCGGCTAGAAGTGCTGAGGAAGTACGGAGGCATCTACTTGGACAGTGATTCATACATTGTCAGGAGTCTGGATGACTTTCGTAGGTAAGGATTGGTTGGACACTGGTCTTGCTAAATACCATAGCTTATAATATGTAACCATACCCGGGATGTAACTATACCAATAAGATTGCGTAGCTGGAATAGAAGTAACGAAGAAGTACGGAGGCATCTGGATAGTAACTCATTCATTGTTAAGAGTCTGTATGACCTTCGTAGGTAATGACTGGCTAAACCATCTTGCATAATTCCTCCACTTATAGTATAACAAGTACTTGTTTTGTCCTAGGACGCTAGGCACGGGCCCGGGATTGTTTTTCACATTACTTCAGGCTAGACGTAGGGGTTGCGGCATTATCACTTAGATCAAATCTATTGGTGAAAATATGGTATAATACCTACCAAGAAGGTAACGTATACTAGAAGGCCTGAAAACGTACAGACACGTCTGGGCAGTGATTATGCTATAGCTACTGTAGGAACACGACTGTCTAAGATTGTTAAACTGTCTTGGAATTGGACCTTACATATGCGAAATAATACTACTGTCAAGAACATGGTTGCATCGTTGTCTTGGCCGACCCCCTTCTATTCCTCTCTGTCTTTCTCCTCTGCCAGCATAGGCATCTATTGGACAGTGATGCGTTTTGTCTTCAAGACATTTTACTGTAGGCGAGGCTTGGCTCCGGGAGTGATCTTGCTGGATACCATCCATTCAGATAGTACGGAGAAGACGTATTGACGTATCCATACTGTATGAGTTTAAGGCATCTATCAGGATATTATTTTGTCCCACTTTCACATCCTAGGATGAAGGCTCTGGCCCGGAACCATTTGTTTGTAACGTTATCCTTTGTATAAAATAAGTTGGTTTTTTTTTTTAATTTAACCCCGAAGTACCGCGCTCTAATAATAGACACTTTCACCCACATGTGTAGTAATTAGAACATAGAAATACATTCGATCACCAAAATTAGCTTTACGTATTATTATCGCTGTAATATCTTCTAGTCCAAGAAATGGGCTACCATGGAGGTATTAGGGCTGAAATGTAGTCAACGATAATAGGGTAGGTTAGGACAAGTAGTCTTGATGCTTTACCAGTTAAAAGCAGCAATTGAGCAATGATTGAGGACATCGGAATAGACTAAACGACTAAACAATGGCCAAACTTGTAAACTATAATTTTCTTGTTTGTTTCAGATACGAGATCGCGCTGGGTTGGTTCCCTGGGAAGGACATGGGCAACCAAATCCTTGTGGCTCATAAGGACGCAAGGTTTCTCAGGATATGGTACGAGTCGTACAAAGACAACTACGACCCTTCGTCATGGTATGTGAAATGCATGTTTTTGTTTAGGTAAATTAAGAAACACTCAGTACACAGACAGCGAAATGTAGTTTATAGCCGGTCAGGTTATGTTGAGCCAGGCACCCTGACCGGATTTTACTAGCAGCATTTTCTTTCTTCGCCATATTTTGAAAGCTATTTTGGCAAGTAAATGGTTATACCGGGTTCAACCATTTTAGTTTTCTTGAGAGCTGTGAAACAACTTACATAGAAATACATTTATATTAGTAATCCCACAACGAAGAATGTGCTCTAATGGCAAATGCAATCTTCCTCAAATCCTTAAATTAAGATATCAATTATTTTAGATTGGGAAGCCACCTCATATTCGAACCCAAATATGAGTCAAGGATGTGTGTGATATTTACTCTGTAGCCTTGTTACTGGCTGAGATCAGTTGTTTCATCTGTCAGGATCATTTATTTAAAGCCCGGGATCAGGAACAGCTGGGTCCAGTTTCCAACCATCAAAAGCTACTGAATTTTCTCAGGATCCGACCGGCAACCTTTAGTTTGTTAGGCGAACACCCACTCAGACACACAGCCTTTCTTTTTCTTGATGTTATTAATGTTTCTGCTATCTCGCCTTGTCATATTCCACCATAATCTTCACATTTCACTCTCTTCCCAGGTATTACAACGCCGGAACTTACCCCACTCATCATATACTAGACTACCAGCCTCATCTGGTCCACAGAGTAGAGAAGCTCTTCGGCAACTACGGCGTCAAGTGGAAAATCTACATGACTGACTTTCCCGAGTGGCACGACTACTACACCTTCCATCTTCTCAGCTCCCGACTAAACCGTGGTCTCAAGAATCTCTCCCCCAAGCTCCGGTATCCCGTGGAGTTCAACCACACAAATGTCCTGGAGTACCCGGTGGCTTTCCGGGAGATGTGCCTTGAAGTGTACCCTTATCCCGAGAAGAAAACGTGATAATTTTTTTTTTAAAAAGCTCAAAAAGTCTTTTGTACCTTGACGAATACTTGATTATTAGTGTTGTCGAAACGCTTAGACAATATTACTGATTGGAAGGTTATTTTACGAAGGAGAATTGGTTTTGGAATAGAGAAGAAAACTTGAAAGCAACCTTGGGGGTTACTACGAGCTCGTTTGTCTAAATTAATTTAATAAATTGAAAGGTGTTCTTTTTTAAGAAAGGCTGGTGATAAAACCACGATCATCTTTATTGACTTAAAAATTCATTGCGTAAAAGTTGCTGTATTAATAGTCGAAGGTAAAAGATACAAAACCAAAACACACAACTTTTGCAACCATGGAAAAGGAAATAGGTTCCAATTTCTAAGCTGCTTTGTAGGGTTTAGATACCCTGTTAATTTCTGAATCAATACAGAATTATTTACCATTCCCTAGTTGTAAAAAAATTTAACAATGAATTAACAAACATTTTTTAATGTTAAAGTTATTGTTATATCTTATGCAACTATTAATTTAAAACAAACATAAAGTACCAACTAAATGTCGAAAGGTTAACAACTTCTTATCTGTTTTAGACATCTGAATAAGAAAAGTTGGTCTGTGTAAATCATGACGGTTATACTAAGTAACTCTTATAATAATCAATAAACATGCAGATTAACACTACCATGTATTATCTTCTGATGTTTACCCCTTAAGTTAAGTATCAATTGTTATAAAACAATCCATGTGAGAGGAAGTTATAAGAATTGGGTAAAACCATAAATCTCATCTATTTGTAAAGTATGTTAAGTACTTACGTCTTCGCTGTTTTCTACGTATGTTGTGCAATGAGAACAATTAAAATACATGTCACAAGAAAAGTATTCTTCGACTAGTAGGAAATTCAATACTTTTTAAAGACACTATTACTTAGTGCACAGTAAATTAATGGTTTCGTCACGGATTTCATTCCCTTTTTTACCTAAAATGAACAATTAAAATATATATTTAGTACATATATGGTAGTTTGGTTAATTAATCAATGGATTAATACAAACGACTGCTATATTAATAAAACAAACTTGTTTCCCATTCCATTAAAGTATCATCATTATGAATCTTAACACTAACATGTTACAATACAAAAATATACAAAATGAAATAGTCAAATACGAAACCTTTTACAAACAATATATAAACTTAAATTTAAGATAACCTAGTTATTCTGTAATTCAATCATGATCAAACTTTTACTTTCTCCATACATAGTATAATGAAGAAAGTATTGTTTTTAGTCAACATTTTCTTGTTTGAGTTTTGGGTGCGAATATACATTTCGGGCCTCCCTGAAAATAAAATTGGGTTTGTAAGTGATGTCTGTGTGTGTCTGTTTATTGTGTGTGTAAATGTGTACAGAGCTACTGACTACACTTGTGGTCCGATTTTGAAGAACCTTTTTGTATTTGGATACTAATCCATGGTATATTTAGGAATTTCTTTATTTTTTAAGAAATTATGAGGTCCAATTGTGGTTTTCCATAAAACTCCATAAAATAATTGTAATATCAAATTTTTTTTAATCGGCTTGGATATTTTTTATTACAATTATAGATGTTTAACTTTAAACAAAATAGTACAGCACCCAATACTATAAAATTGGGGTTCGAAAGTTATTGAATATTTTGTGATTCATCGTTACTTACACCACTTATCTATCTATTATAAGGGTTGTTGACAAGGTATTGGAAGAAAATACTGATGCCGTTTATTTTTTTAAGAGGACACTCTTAACTAGCTAAAATTTTAACGGTAAAACTACTTAGTAAATGGGGTTGTTACACAATAAAAAGGCAAGACAATTAATTAAAGTTGAAGAATTGTAGAAGTGTTTGTAAATTTAAAATTACTCCTACATAGTATTGTTTTGTGTTCTTGTTGTTGCCCTCAAGGATTCATTTAGCTTCTCTCCTTCTGAAAACAAGATATTTTAGTCTCTCCTCTAAAAAGGTCTGTTTCCAAACAACTAGCTAAATTAGGACTCCAGATTCCAGGACTACGTCCAACTACGTACGGTCTTGGCACGACAGTGGAATCTCAAAACTATAATTTTATACACGAATGCAAAGAGATTAAATTCCTTAAATGCAATATTAGTCAAGTTTACGTAACCTACTGTATAAATAGACTCAAGAGTTTGGAGAAATTTGTCTTAATTCTTTTGTATTCGATGAAAACTACTGCTCAAAAGGGATATGCAAGTGGGGAAGATGATGGTTTAGTCTTATTTTTGGCTACTAAGTATGTAGCTGTAGCGGATCTTCATATCCAAGTAGAGTTAATTTCAGTTGTGCTAGTAGCAAAATATCTTTAACTATTGAAATCACTTTTTCCCTTTACTATGACCAGTGACGTAGGGTCCGGACCCCCCCTTCCGGTCTTAAATATAATATTTTTTGTTATTAAATGTAAAATTATTTAATCATACTGTATTGACATTGGGGTTGATTGTTAATGCCAAGAGAGCTAAAAAAAGACCCTTTTAGGGCCTATATTGTTAAAAATTTTCCCAGACCCCCATTTACCTGGGGTATGGAATACCCCCCAGACCCCCTGGTCAGTCGACCCTCTCCCCCTATTTTGAAATCCTGGCTACGACACTGCTAGAATAAATTGTTTTGCCAGACGTTTATATTTTCTCACGACTGGCAAAACAGTTTGTTCTAGTTCCATCCTAATTTGAACACATTCCCTCATAAAAATACGATATTTCAATTGGTATGGTATGCAAAAAGTGATCCCCACATTTTTACTTCAAATATTTACTCGATTTAAGTAGAAGATTACATCATATTTGACATTTACATACAGGGTGTGTCCCAAAAAGATTGAGTCAAATCTACAGCTTAATATACGTGTTACCAAGGGTCGTTGAATAGTCAACTATGACTAGTTTTAAATCTTGCGTCTTTAAGTTTTCTTATTAACCTTCAACAATAATCAGCTGTTCCATTGTTGTTAGCACGTTTGAATTGTCAAATCAGAAAGTTGTAATATGGGAGCACTTGAAAGCACAGTTATTGAATGGTTTATAGAGACGAAATCTGTGGTCTGATTTGTTTCTCTGGGGGGTTTTCTGAAAGATCAACTGTATCTATGGCTCGCCAATGTTAAACTTAAACAAACCGAAATCAAAGATAAATGAATCATTTGGAAAATATCTAATGAATTGCGCCACAACGTCTGGTCAGAGCTGGAACACCGATTTGACTTTCTTCGGGCAAATAACGGAGAACATGAAGGCGGTTAGGCGGTGAATGGAAGGTAAAGACTTAAGAAGTTGAAAATTGTATATAAATTTAACTTTTGTTCTTAAATAATAAAGTGTTTATGCCAGTTCACGTTTGGTCCATTCTTTTTGGGACACTCTGTCTACGTATTTAATAACAGCGTGTCAAGCATTACTCGAAACATACTAAACAATCTTGAGATTTAACTATATGTTGAGAAGTTAACTAGCAAAAACCAAAGTGAAAACTTATGTTATTTTAAATTGTATTGTATAGATATAGTAAGATCTATGAGCTAACTTACAATTTCAATCGAATACTTGTAGTTAGTTAGTATGTCATTTTGTTTTGCTTGGTTGATTTGATTAATTTCGTGTCAACAGGTAAATAGATATGACCCAATATATTTGCGTCTACTATCAAATGAATCGCTAGGTTAGGGCAGACAGTGAAATTTCACCTTCATATTGCAGCCATAACAAACAACTGTAGCTCAATTTTATGGGAGCCAATTGCTTAAGACCCAGGTGGCGAAGAGTACAGTATTGCGATGTAATAGCTTTTCTGATATTTTAATGCCTCTACTGGAATTAGACTTAGGATTGTTAGTCTTCTAGAGAAGGTGTTAAGTTGGTGTAGTAGTTTAGTAGAGTAGTTAACGGTTATTTCTGCTACTATACGCGTTTGAAAATATGTCACATGCAATGGAAAGGCTTAAAAATGCTCTAGAATAATTTACTTAAATACTATATAGCTTATATTGGCAATCTCAGGGATTAAGTAATTTTCATTCGTGATTGTATCAAAGAAATGTTAAGTAGTTTAACAGTTTACTACGGATAGAACTTAGCATTCTACTCCAATTTTAAATAAAGTTGTTGTAGCAAGTTTTAGAAGAAGTATTAAGGTAGAATTGAGCCATTGACGGATTGCATTGATAAACATTCATGGTTTTAGTCGAATATGGCAACTTTTTAACCAAGCCAAATAAGACAGAGTATATACCTACCTTTTATGTCACCAACTGTTGAAACAACAAAAATATGTAGGAAATTAAAGCCTTATCACACTCTAAAAGTAGCGCATTTATGTTGGTTTTGTTTCTAAAAGATAGTCCATATAGAAATTGATGGCTTGGCTCATTTACTATTTAAAAGTCAATCATATTAATCGGTTATCTCATAAATCAGGTGTAAAACACCTTCATAACATTTCCCCATTGTAGAAAGTAAATTATTCCCATCTCATTATCATGGTTATATTTTTATATTAATCTACAAATTCCCCGAAACATTTTCCTTGAGTCCATGATTATGTACAATGAGAGCAACAATACTTCTGAAGACATCTCTGAGAGTAAACATGTTGTGTTCGTAGGCAGAGCTCGTGTGGGTGAAGTTTTTCACGCTACAATGCATGCAAAGTGTTACTCATATTTTGAGTTGAGTTTCCGCCCCAACTAGAGTGTAAGAGCAAACTGTTATTTTATTCCGACTCGAGCCCAAATCTTCCGACCATTTTTCTCCGCCATCAACGTTTTCACTTCTATGTTTCACGCTTCGAGAATATTCTCCGATTGTCTGAGCAATTTAGAAATTCGTTTTTTTGCTAAGTCGCATGCTTTGATAACCTTTTACTTATTTGAAGAACCTAATGTAATTTATTTGCCTTAACATGGATTTATAAACATTTAAGAGTTTCTTCACTCACCAATTTGAGGAGAATACTAAGTTACAATCTCATTGGAGTTAGTTCTTCTTTTTTGTCGGATTATTTATAAACTGTAACAAATCATAAATATCTTGGGTTACACAGTTATTCAAAAAAATGTGTTTTTGGAGCGGATTTTTACTTAAAATTCCATAAGAAAGACATTTTGATTGCGCACAATCCAAATGGAGTTGTAGTTAAAACTACAATCAAAACAAACCAAGTTTGAAATGAGTACGGCTTCCCTCTGTACTTCACTAAAAAGTATAAACATTCCTATTACAAATATATAAAAGGTTTAATTTAATGGTGTGTTTATCTAAAAGTTTTAACAATATTTCTTTAATGGTATTTAACACGATTTGTTCGTACAAGGTTCATAAAAGTGGCCACATTTATTAATCCGTTCTACTGTACTATGTTGTTTAAAAAAGGTGTTTCAACTTTTAAATTATATACAATCGATTTCGCAATGTCCTAAAGTTATTCCAAAATCAATATTATCAGCCTACATATCCCAATATTTGCACTGTAATCCCTAGATACAGTTGCCGAAGGAGAGGCCGGTGACCGGTGACCGCTCGGCGCATGCGTGATGGTATCTTCTGCTCCGGCAACGCGCAGGCGCAGTCGACATATTCATAAATACAGCGGCGCCTCTCCACTACACTAAGTGGCGCAGTTCCCACACTGCTCTAGC